TACAAATTAAATATGCAGTAAGTCAATGAACACAAGGTATTTAATATTTATTTAACCGACACTTATAATTTTTTTTCTTTGATTTACCGATTTAACAAATAAATTTGACGCGAACGCGGACTGTAGACAAGTGAGATCGCCATTTTTAAATTCACACATGTACAAAATTGTTTTATCGTGACAAATAAAATAGGTTAATTAAACAGTTTGGTTAAGTGAAATAAACTTTTTCTCTGAGTGTAAATAGCGCTTCCAAAAATCGCCCTTGACGTTGTTTTAGAATTTTTACTTTAAAAATGTAGAAAATCAAAATTTTGAACCCGCCATATTGGATCGAAAATTTGGAAAAATTAATTTCTGATATCAGATTCATGATGAACGATCGAAAATAGCCCCGAGTAAGTAATTTTTTTGAATTTTTGACAACACTTATGTGTTAAAACCTTGGATATATTGTGGTGCATTTTTATGACCCACTTTAATCATCCGCCATTTTAAAAATTTTTCAAAATTAAATTTTTGGCAAAGTGCTATCTTATAGTGCAGCTAAAAATGAAGGCAAATGTGACCTGGAGAATTTTTTGCATTAAAATTAAAAAAGTTATTAATTTTTTTTTAAAAAGTGCATTTTTCCTATGTATTTTTAATGGGAAATTTCGATGGATCTCTGGCACGTGTTAATATTAATCAATCGGCTTCAAATTTTGGGAAATTTTTTTTTATTTTATTGGAACTAAACTGGGGGGTGGCGTAAACAAAATTCGAAAGTCGCATTGTTACGGACACCCTATTGCGCACGTTTGTACGCTCGCTTCATATTCCACCTCGCTACGGAGTTTAATTCCGCGGTACGCGCTCCCACTAAAGTCGCAATATCTCGAGAACTATTAGAGTCTCCATAAAATTTTTTTTATGAAATGAAAGGTGAAATTACAAGGAATCGATATTTACTTATTAGAAAATTCAAAAATTAGGCCAACTGAACTAAAAATTAATTCAAAAAATTTTTTTGACTTTTTTTTTGACAAATTTTGGAAATTTTTTTTTGTTCATAATATCAAATTAAACTACGTATTTTTAACTATATCGCCTGTAAATTTTATTAAAATCGATCTAAAAGTTTCAGAGTTATTAATTTTTGAAAAAAACGCAACACTCATTTTCAATATGGCGTAGCGGCCGCCATTTTGAAAATTTTTCAAAATCCTTTTAGGGTTAAATTTAATTCATATAAGACTTCTATTTCCCAAGGTTTCGAAGAAATCGGAAGACCACTTGCAAATCGCTTTTTTTCTGACGGAGTCTTACCCACATGACAAATAATCTTATTTTTAAAATATTTTAATAAATTTTAAAGAGCTTTCATCAAGGAAAATTGAATATTATGTTAAGTTTACTTGTTTTCGATTTACACTGCTAAGTTTTTATACCTTTTTTTAAAGTCTTCCTTAAATTTTACCACAGATGCCATATTTTGTTGCAACCGTTTTTTCGTTGTTTATTTTTTAACGCACTTTATACTATTTTTTCGTCGTGTTTAATTAATTTTATTAAGTAAACACGCGAAATTTTGGTAAAATTAGAAGGTTAATTTAAGTAGAAAACAAATGAATTTCACATAATATTCAATGGATTTTTGTCCCTGGCTTTTTCACCCCCAAGACCAGTTTTTCTAAGAGCTAAAATAAATTTTAAATTCAGTTCAATTTCCAAAAATTAACATTGTATACGTTTTGAGTATAGTTTTTTCCTTATGTACAAACATTTACTTTTATTACCCGTTCACTTAAACAGGTTGTAATATGTTCGAAAAGTTCATCGAAATATTATACGCAGAGCAACTCAAAAATTAAAATTACAATAAAAATTATATTAATATAGGTACAACATCCAAACTAGTATCAAAAGTTGCGTATTAACTGATAGTATTTGTATTCTAAATAGCTGATAAATCGGTTTAATAGTTTTCAAATAAAAGTCAAATGGCTTTTTTGCACCATGGCTATTTCACTCCGTTCTACTCTATCTCTAAAGATAATTGAAATTTTGACGAGAATTTTTAAAAATTTTTGAACATAATTGAATTTTTGCGAAGAACTTTATTACTTTTGAAAATAATTGAATTCCTTCAATCATTTGTAATTTCTCTAAAATTATCCAAATTATATCGTATAATTTACGTACTTTACGGACCTTTTTCAATCGAATTACGGACTTTACGGACCTTTTTTCAAAAAAACGGACTTTTACGGACTTCAAGCAAAGTTACGGACTTTTACGGGATTTACGGACCTAGTTCGAGCCCTGAAAGACGCAAGCGTTAATTTCAACGTTATTTTTTGCTAAACTTCGTTTTCGTTTTTATTCTTAGTTTCATTAATATCTACCATCTATTCTTCTTTTCTCTCATTTAGCTAGGAATTAAAATAGTCAATTTAATAGAATTAATTTTTATGTCTTTTAAATTTTCCATCAACTTGACTATTTACAGTTATTGTTTTTCAGATTATTTTTATTTTTCAATCAATTTCCAAACCTTTCGAAAATTTAATTTTCAAACTCATAAGTGACTATATTTTAAATTTTAATACTAAATTGAGATACTAATTTAAAATATTAAAAATATGTTTTTTTTTTTTTATTAATTTCAAGTTTTTTTCACTAAAAATTTAGTGAAAAAAAAAGGAAATTACACGGAAAAGACAAATAAAGCAATAGTTTTATTATACTTTTCTATAGTAGAAGTTAAACTGTCCCGAACTTTTGGAAATTTTTTTTTCGACTGCAAAATAAAATTTAGAGTCACTTTTGAGTTTGAAAATTAAATTTTCCGAAAGGTTTGGAAATTGATTGAAAAATAGAAATAAGATGCATAACAATAACTTGGTCGGTAACTTTTGTATATTAGAGTCGAATTTTAGAAGGAAAAGTTTATTTTCTCTCGCAGAAGTATTTTTGAATGTGAGTTGTAATCATCATGCGGAAAGTAGCTTTTCCGACGAATTTGTTAGTTTGCTGCTCGAGCGTCTAGCGAGAGCAGCAAACTAACAAATTCGTCGGAAAATTTACTTTTCGCCCTTAGTACCCAATTTTAGTTTAGGCTCTAAAGTCTCAAAGTTCCAAAACTTCACCAATTTCCGAAATTGCTCTCATGTTTATACAATAAAAAAAAAATCATTGTCCCCGCTCTTGAAGATTTGATTCAAATCCTTTAGTATAAAGAAAAAATGAAACCACTAACCCTCCTTAAGATGAATTTAAAATTAGTCCTCGTACTTCTTTTCAACTTTGAACTTGATTTTCTTTCGCTATTTTCGTTTATGAATTTAGCCTTTCAGTGAAAACAGAATTGTTTTTCAATGAATTCCGTTTCTGTTCCTCGTGGTAATTATTTATTTTAGATTTGCACTAGATTACATTAGATTGCATTAGAATTTATCATTTTAAGAAATCAGCGTTTTCATTTGAAAGTAGAATTTAAATTTCACCATTTTTCGACGACAATAATTTCGCAAGTGGAATGAATACATTCGGTACACCCTCTATTCATTGGAGTCGAGTGCGCATGTTTCGGTCCGGACGAGAACACAACCGAACATCGCGGTCAATTTCGAAAGCCGCAGTCTCGCTCAAAAGTTGAAGCACTTAAACCAAGTGGTGGTCCATATGATGCTGTAATGGGTTCTCGTTTCAAAATGAAAAAAAGAGGGTGGAGGCAAAGTGTCGAATAAAAAAAAAGGGGAGAAAATAAAGAAAGTAAACAATCCTAACAATATGAATCAAGTGATCAATTTTTTTAACCGCACCTTTATTATTGGAACCAAGTGGTCCATTGGGATGTTGAGGCGAATCGAATCGTGATACTTCTCTCGCGTGTGCAGTTGCGAACGCATACACACAGAGATATTTATTTATATATATGTGTGTGTGTAGAGAGAGAGACGCAGCGTGGGTGGGAGAGCGGTCGTGCGCCGCAGGTCTACGTCACAGAAAACGACGTCACTGGAGAACAGAAGAAAAGCAAGATCGCGGCGCGGAACGGGGAAGTGCGCGCACCAAGTATTAACGGGTGGGGAATAAGCACGAGAGGAGAATTAACCAGCATATACACACTCGTGTATAGATAGGTACGGAGAGCGAGGATTGGCTGGCAACCGCTCGGCGCTTCCAAATATGGGACAGTCTTCGTGGTCCATTCATAAAACTACGGGGCGCGCCGCCGCTTAGCTCAGTTCGTGCGCGACCCCCACGCATCGCGTGTCCTATACATTATCCGCGGGACTCACACGCACTTGGCGTCGAGGCCACGTACACTCGCATATACACAAGTGCGTTTACAAAAATAATACTGTGGCTAGCTTTTGAATCCGGCTTGAATCTTTGGTGCGCGGGGGCTCTCAACTTTGACTCGGAGCACACATATACGATATATACTGACTGACCGCAGAGTTTCTCTCGCGTGAATTCCTCCCCCGCGCCTATATATAAACATCTCTCCCTCTACCGCTCCTCACCTCTCAACGAGGACACAATCACTGATCAGCATACTTGAAAAGAATTTCGAAGGAGGTGCTTCGAGATTTTTCTCTGTCAATAAAAAGAAGCAAGAGCGCGGAGAGGACTTGGTCTCGGACCCGGTCGGTTCGTCGACCGGTGCGATCGTGCGACGAGAGTCTCGTCAAACGAGAAGAGGAGGCAAGAAACGGAGAGAAGAAGAGAGTTCGGGTGCGAACGCGGGCGGGCAAGCGAGCGCGTGCTCACGTCACTTTCGTTCTCGGACAGTGGTGTGTGGACGGTGGTGTTCTGTTCTCTCTCGGGAGAATTTTTTCCTCGCGTCGGATTCGTTCACTTGTTTCACTATGCGACAATTATCAGAGAAATAGGAGTGATGTAAAATGTACTAATAATTTTTTGACTTATTCCCCCCCGTGTGTGTGTGTGTGTGTGTCAGTAGTCGAGAAAATTGTGAATTGTAATAATTGAGTTGAAAAATACATCAGCAGGAGAGGATACGTGCGCTCCTGAAGGAATCACTGGTGGTCCAGCAGGAAGGCAGCATCCCACATTTCAGAGGATGACGATGGACGGCATGGAAGTGATGGGCTCGCAACCCCATGCTGCCGCAACAAGTCCCTTTCTTCTGTCCTCACCACCTCTGGGGCATCATCACCATCATCATGCGACTTTCAACCTCCAAACGGTGCAACTCAGCTTCGATGCCTGTCTGACGTACAACGCAGTGACGTCGGCCGCCGGTCTTGGCGGCACATCATCCCTCACGACGAACACGTCGAAAGCCGCCGTACCAACCCTCTCCCTTGGCAATTGCACTCCCCTGCATCATCATCATCAGCAGCAAGTCACCACCACTGACTCGCCTGATGGCCAGCAAGCCCTCCATCGTGATCACGCCAATCATCACGATCACCATCATCCGCATCATCATCGACACGAGGAGCATCATCGATTGCATTCCGATGTCGATGCACCCACATCGCCAGGCAGGGATCATGACAAGAGGCATTCGCAGCGGCTCGAGGATGAACGCGAACGCATCAACGATTGCCGTGATAGTTTGCAGGATCAAAATGAGAAAGACAAGGCTGGTGATCTCAATACACCGGTTACCACCAGCAGCGATTTGCCCTCCTTTTTCGGCCCCTCCGCCCTCGTCGAACCACCACCGATCACAGGTACCAGTCTCCTTTAAGACACAAATTTTATTCTTTTCATTAATTCGACCTTTTTGTTTGTATCGTCGTTGACTAACAATTGTTGACATAGCAAAAAATACCCTAACAGTTTGGACAACAAACAATGGACAACATTATCCATTGCGGTTAGGGTATTTTTTACTATTGTAGGTTATCTTACGGACATTTTAGTCACATTCGGAAATTAGGATCTTCCTAGGATTCTTAAGGTATATCCCGGACCGGAATTATACCGGAATTACCTTTGGATATTAATTTCCGGTTGTCCTTAGTAGGTCCGTAGGATGTTCTGAATATCCTAATGATGTTAGGGCAGATTGCAAAGAATGGTTAAGAAGAGTAGATTGTAAAGAGTGGTTAGTATCGAAAAGTAGACTGCATAGAATGGTTAGTAAACAAGATTTCAAAGAATGGTTAGTAATAAAGTACAGATTGCAAAGAATAAACAAGATTGCAGAGAGTGGTTAGTAAGAAAGAATAGATTACCAAGAATGGTTAGTAATAAAGTACAGATTGCATAGAATGGTTAGTAATAAAGTACAGATTGCAAAGGATGGTCAGTAAACAAGATGGCAAAGAGTGGTTAGTAAGAGATAATAGATTGCAAAGAATGGTTATGTTAGTAAACAAGATTACAGACACTAAAATGGGTAGAAAGAAACAAAATAGAAAACCAGGGAAAATTATAGTCAGACGAATGGAAAAGCTGTGAATCCTTCTCTCTTTAAAGCATAGTGGTTCAATTTCACCGAGACCTTATGACGTAGTACATCACATGCGATGAGAAACTTGCTAACATCGAACCTGCCTGCGACGGATCAATACTTGGCGACCCCGACATTCAGAGACTCTCAGCTAGCCTTCTATTCCGCCACCCCCTCCCCATCATGCGAGGTTCATTCATGCTTCTACCCTAACCCCCACCCCAGCTACTATGATTACCCCCCGCCATCCAATATCAGCCGGCTTTAACATCATTCCCCGGGTGTTTCCACTTTTTCGCTGAAAAAAACTTCAACTTTCTCTTTTCATATACTCTTAAATTCATTCAACATCCCACAATCGATTACAACACAATTTATGCTAAATTGCGATTTTTCTGATGCGGTCGATAAAAATCTTTCCTCTCCAAATTTTAATTCGATTGCACCGGAAATAGTGTCCAGTGGGTATTTTTTTTTATTGTTAGCAATAATCGTATGAAGCGAGGAAGGAAGTTTCAGAAGGCAGGATGTAGGCGATATTTATTCGCCGATAAGACAGCATACTGACTATTCCCTATCGCTGACTCTTCCTGCCGTTGTGGAAAAAAAATATCTCTCTTTGTAAAAAAGAGACATTCTGATGGATTGAATTTTAGGGCGAGAAATTATATCAAAAATTACTGAAGACAAATGATTTTAATTCACCGAGATCTGATTTTAATGTACCGAAATCTGAAAACTTTGACCTTTGGTTTGTATTAAAATATTTGTGTATGATTACAGGTGGTTTAACGGGTGACGATCTCTCGCTGGACGAGCCGACAGTGGAGGACGAGGACGGAAATTCCGCAAGTAGGGATCGACAACAGCAGCAGCAGCAGCATCACCATCATCACCACCATCAGGAATCGCAGGACCACTCGGTAGGCGCGCCTTCCACGAGTCCGGTTTCGCAGCATCAATCCCAAGACGATGTGGATCGATGCAACATTCTCCAGGGGGGAGTGATCCTCTACTCGGCGCCGCACTCGACATCATCAGTCGCCTCAACCCCATCCTCAAGTGTAAATATCTGCAACGTACCGACCCTCACCTACCGCGGCGTCTTCACCACGACCTGCACGCAATCGTCCACCTTGAACAATCTCCAAACGCCGCAGCAACAACAAGCGCAACAGTTGCAACCCCAGACCCCAAATCAAGAAATCTGGGGCTCCCTTCCCTCGCCCACTCTCACCCTGACCGGACAACCGTTTCTCCATCCGACGTTACACACCGGTCCCTACGGTGGCGAGACAGTAGAACTTCTGCAAGTCGACTCCAAACCCCCCGCACCACCAGGCTATCACGACACCCCAAACTCCACCTCCTCTGGATGGCTCACAGCCCACGAAGAAGCCTACGATCCTGGCCTCTTGTCCCACCATCACCAACAACACCATCATCATCATCACCAACAGCAGCAGCAACAGCAACAACAGCAGCAGCAACAACAACAACACCATCAAGAACCTACCCTAAAACAAGAACCATCCCCCGGTTACGGAACAAACGTTCCACAACAACAAACCCAACAACCCTCCTCGAACCAAACAGCAGCCGGTGTCCAACTCGCCGAATACAATCCCAGCACCTCCAAAGGTCACGAAATTCTCTCCCAAGTCTATCAACAAAGCGCACTACCCCTGAGACTGGTGCCAGTGAAGCCGAGAAAATATCCAAATCGACCGAGCAAAACACCAGTGCACGAGAGGCCGTACGCGTGTCCAGTTGACGGTTGCGATAGACGCTTCTCAAGGAGTGATGAATTGACGCGACACATTCGCATTCACACGGGACAAAAACCATTTCAATGTCGAATATGCATGCGCTCATTCTCGAGGAGCGATCATTTAACGACACACGTGCGTACGCATACCGGCGAAAAGCCATTTTGCTGCGATCAATGTGGACGTAAATTTGCAAGGAGCGATGAGAAGAAACGACACGCGAAGGTTCATTTGAAGCAGAGGCTAAAACGCGAGGCAACACACTCGTCATCGTCACGAAATCATCAGTCACATGCCGCATCGTCACCATGTAATCAGTAATGTAATTGTATAAAAAAACCAAACACACACATACAACACAAAAAAAAACAATGCCCGGTGATTCGCGGGTTTTATTTTTTTTTCTTTTTGTGTTTTTTTTTTAAACACTGATCTCGCAAGCGAAAATACGTCGAGTATTAAATATAAGTTGAATGTAGATAATTGTTATAGACGTTCGCCTATTTGAATAATTTTGATAAATTGGAATTATTTTTCTAAAATTGAATTGGATTTTCGTTTGGAAATTTAGTAGGTTTAATGAAGGGAATGCTACGAAGAAAGTTTGGGTACGCGAATATTTTTCCGAATTTTTTTTCTTTCTCTTCTTATGAATTTTTTAGTGGGGAATATTTTTATTATGAGATGCATGAATTTTTCATAAAATACATTCATTATACAAATATCTTAATTTTCATGGAGAAGAAATTTCTTTCTTTTTCATTCGAGATTACTTATATTTAATCAGATTTCCATTCAGTAGAATTTTTAACTATCAAATTTTTTCCTTAGAGGAATCTTTATTCAATAAATTTTTTATTTAGGGGAATTTTCATTCAGGCGAAAATTTAATTAAACAATTCTGTTTAGTAGAACATTAAAGAGAATTTCTATCTATTAAAAGAATTATTATTTAGTAGAATTTTTATCGAACAGAATTTTTAATTAGCAGAATTTTTCTTGAACAAAATTTTTAAGTTGAATTTTTGTAGAAGACAATTATTATTTAGTAGAATTTTTATTGAACAGAATTTTTATTTAATGGAATTTTAATTTAGTAGAATTTTTATGGAATAGAATTTTATTTAGTAGAATTTCTTATTGAAAAAAATTTTTATTTAGTAGAATTTCTATCCATCAGAATTTTTATCGAATAAAATTTTTTTTAATTTTTATTTATTAGAATTTTAATGGAACAGAATTTTTTTCGAACAATATTTTTTATTTAATATAGATTTTCACCTGACAAAATTTTTGTTTAATAGAATTTTTATCGATTTGAATTTTTTTCCAAACAAAATTTTTATTCGGAATTTTTTCCAAGCAAAATTTTTATCGAATAAAATTATTATTTACTAGAATTTTTAAGGAACAGCATTTTTTATAAACAAAATTTTTATTTAATTAAATTTTCAGCTAACAAAATGTTTGTTTAGTAGAATTTTTATTGAACTGAATTTTTATAAATCGAAATTTTTATTTAGTAAAATTTTTATCAAAGTGAGTTTCTTTTGGAACAAAATTTTTATTTAGAAGAATTTTTACCCAACAAACTGTTTGTTTAATAGAATTTTTATCGAATTGAATTTTGTTCGAACAAAATTTTTATTCAGTAGAATTTTTATTAAACAAAATTTCCATTTAGTACCTAGAATTTTTTTGCCAAGAGAATTTTTATTAAAGATAGAAATTCTACTCATTGTGAATTTGCTTAAATGAAAATTATGTTAAGGAAAAATTTGCTAAATAAATATTAGACTAAATATTCTAATTTCTTAACTTTATGAATTTAATGAAAGTGAAACAAATTTTTTTAGTAATTTTATAAAATATTAATTCGCCGAATAAAATACGTTTCTTGCTTCGAAAATTAAATTTGGGATTAAAAACGAAAATTCAGTAAAAATTCAAAGAAATGTTCTTGATATCTTTAGAAAAGAGAAGAAAAGAAAGAAAAAGTTTCAAAATAGTTAAAATTAGATTTCGCCTCAAAAAAATTAATGACGTTCTTAAACTTTCGATAAGTAGCATTTCCTCAAATTGAACTAGATTTTGCAAATTTTGATTCGAAATTAAAAATTTTTAATTTTGAGATTTCATATTTTTGCAAATGCTCATTTTTAATTAAATTTTATTAAATCGTAAAAATAATTCGAGTTAGCAAAAATTTTGTTGTTAAATCAAAATCAGTGAAATCAATTATTTACAATAGTTAATTATATGAAAGCAGTGAAAATTTCACTAAATCAAAACATCGTTGAAGATAAATTATAAATAAAATATAATAATAGAGAAAATATAAAAAAAATATATAGAGTATATACAAAGAAAATGAAAGAAAATATATTTATGTACAGATTTATTTGACTCAATGGAATTTTCACTGTTTTCGAGAGTTTATTTTTTAAGAATGCAGTTAACAGTCTTAATTTTGCTTCAGATATCAATAAAAAAAAGATTGTCTTCTTTTTAATATTCTCAAATTAAACTCTCAAAGTTCGACTTGTTACAGTAAATTTTTAAATGGTAGCAATTTGAAAAAAAAATGGACTATGTTTCTGCCGTGTGTGCAGAAAACTCTCACAAAGTTGGGGAAATTTTTGTTTTTCCAAGAAAACTTTAAATGAAGTTATTAAAAATTAACGCTTAAAACAAGATCTCAGAATGCCTTACTGTTCTATTCGAATGGAATTATTGTATCGCAATTAATATAATTAAATACGTGTTTCATGAACGTGTCATCGTTTCAAAAACACACGGATGAGCAACAATTATATATTTATTTTTTTGGCTCATTTATAATATTACCTCATCTCAAAGTAACGATAAAAATTCATTTGTTCGATATTTAAATAAATAAATAAAAGTAAACCAAGTCCGTTTCTGGGGCAATGGGTTGAAATGAAGATTATTAATATAAAGAAATAAGAGAAAATAAGTAAAAGAAAAGAAATAAAAGAAACTAAGTAAAAGAAAAGAAATTAAAGAAAATAAGTACAAGAAAATAAATTAGAGAAAATATGCAGAAGAAAATAAGTAAATATAAATATATATATATAAAAATAAATACAAATAAATATAATTCTAGCTTATTGTGTACAAAAAAGAAAATCAATTCACACGCGCACAGAGGGACAAAACAAAATGTTGCCCATCCCTTTAAGTAAAAAAGAAAATTGTTTAATATCAGCAATAGCTATATCTACGATATTCGTCTCATTCCTATTACAGTTTACAGTATTGTTATTGCTCAAACTATTCCTCATTAATGGCTGTTAGAAATTGAGCTCTTATATTTTTCTGTGCAATATGATGTGACAAGAAAATGTAGATTATTTTTAAACAAATCTCAATACTTTTTTTGAAATTAGGTGGAAACGTAGTCATCGTTTTTTTTTTGAGAAAGTTACAGCGAGTCGGTATTCCAAAATAAAAAATAAAAAACAAGGAGCAAACGAAAAAAATGTGACGGAGACCTTTCGACGATAATTTCGTCAACGACTGATTCGTCAATAGATAGGAAAATCGGTCTGATCTAATTTGTGATTTGACGATTATTACGGTAATCAGGGTGGCGTGCTTGTTTTTTCAAAAAAAAAAAAAACACAAATTGATATTTTCTCCCTAGGAAAAAATTAGAATAATTTTTCTAATTTTTTTCAAAAATTTTCTCAAAAGAAAAATTTCTGTTAACATTTTTTTTTTCAGTTTTTTTAATTATAAAATTTGGATTGTAAGTAAATTAGATTAACTGATCGATCTCGAATAAATTGAAGGTGCTATTAATCAAAAAATGGAAGAAAATATCGATTTGGTGATTGGAAATACTCATGTGTGTAATATTTAAATATTGCCCTGTGTGTGAAAAAGTGGTAAACGATAAAATCTCCTTGAGGGATGAAAATGAATTTTGCAAAAGGAAATTATACTCTTGATTTTAGAGAATTTTTTTGGGTAATTTATTTTTGTTTAACTGTAATGACTATTAATGGCAAAGTTCCTTTTAATTTACCTTGTTTGTAGATACCGTTAATTTTAATTATCGTCGATTGCAACTATTAATCGGAACTACCATTCAATGGAAAGTGCTGCAATTGCTTGAAATTGAAGTAATTTAATTTTGTTAATTTTACGATTATTACGAATTATTAAAATTAATTTATTATTATATTTTTTTATTTATTGGCGAATATTATTTTTTCTCGAGAATATTAATAGTATCAAAAAAATAATATTTGGCAAAAATAAAAAATTCTATAAGTGTTTTAGAAATGAATTGAATATTAAATTTTTATTCTATTTTTTAATTTAAATTGTTTTTATTAAAATAACTATTTTTTTATTTTCATCTATTTTTTTATTTGGTTAAATGATATTTTTTTCTCTTCGAGATTTTTTTTATTTCTTCGAATATTATTTTTTTATTCTCTTCGAAACACTTTATTTTTTCGGAATATTATTTTTTATTCTCTTGGAGACTTTTTTCGAACATTATTCTTTTATTCTCTTCGAAAACATTGTTTTATATTTTCAAATATTTTTTTAAGAATTTTTTTAAGAATTTTTTTCGATTATTATCATCATTATTATTATTATTGTTAAAAATATCTATATTGTTGTCTGTTTTTATTCCATTAAATTTGAATATTTTAACTGAAAAAGAGAAATTTTTTTCAAAATGTAAAAAGTGGGGATTCAAAAATGTATGAAAAGTGGAATTTTTCTCAAAATGGAAATTCTTTTCAAAATGCAAAATTCAATTTCATCTGTAAGGAATACAACTGGCTGTTAAATATAATATAAATATATTTATGTAACCATTATTCAATCATGGTGCAAAAAAAAAATTGAGTTAATAATTGTTAAACGTCTACAGATGTTTATTGAAAAAAAAAAAAATTTTGTACTGCTAAAATATTTATGATTAGTGTGCATAGACGTCTGAATTTACAAAAGAGAGAGAAAGAGAGAGAAAGAGAGAGAAAGAGATAGAAAATCCTTTGCGTCCTAAAATCTCGAGTCTTTTATATTATATTACAAATCGGACAATGCTGTAATCACAAAGTCATTGTGCAATCGCTTTTAATTTTTTTTTTCGTTTTTGTTTTAAATAATTATAATTTTTATTAAGCTCCGTGCGTCGGTCACGCTAAAATCCGACAAATCCGCCCGTTCGTTCTTCCCTTTTTCCTCGCCTTTTTTCTCATTATACGCTGCCTAAAACCCCTTGGAAAATAATTTAATATTTGTAATTATAAAATTGTAATTTTTATTCTTATTCTTATTACTATTAGTACTATCAGTACTACTAGAAATATTATTATTATTTTTATTTTTATTATTATTTTTATTATTATAATTATTAATATTATAATTATCGTAATTATAATTATTATTGTTGTAATTATAATTATTATTATTGTAATTATTATTATTACTATTATTATTTTTATTATTATTAATATTGTAATTATTACTATTATTATTATAATTATTCATCGTCGTTGTTAATAATAATAATAGTTGTAAATATGTACATAAAATATTTACGCAGATATACATATATATAATTGGAAATAAAAATATGCGCACAGAGATCTATATGTGGGGAACTGTTGTGTATATATGTAAAAAAATACGCGTAGTATTACTAAATATACGTGTATGTGAAAAAAGAAATTGAAATCTATGAAGTAAAAAAAAATTTTACAAATTGTTATCGTTTATTTTTATTTTTTTTTTTTTGCTCTGGTTATGCCAGTAAATTTTATCTATATAAATAAAATACACCAGTGTCTTTCTTCTAATCGCGATTCTTGTGCAGTAATTTTTTTGTA